CAAGTTGCCCAGGCTGGTCTCGAACCCGCGGGCTCAGGCAATCCTCTCGCCTCAGCCTCCCAAAGTGCTGGGATTAAAGGTGTGAGCCACCGCGCCCTGCTTGATCTGCCTTTGTGAGCCCTGCCAGGTGTGGGAGTGGCTGATGTTGTCTGAGGTCTTTCATTCCACAGGGAGACTAAAGTCCCAGAAGGGGAAGTGGCTCTGCGGGCATGGGGGCGGGAGGGGCATGGGTGCCCCCCAGGGGCGGACTGTTCCCGCGCCCCTGTCTGTGAGACCCGGCCCCCTCGGGCCTCCGCAGCCTCCACAGCCAGCCTCTGTGCCCACAGGTGTTCAGCTCAGACCGGCTGCAGGACAAGAAAGGCTGGATGCAGGCCCAGGGCGCCTGCCGGGAGCTGGGCGCACAGCTGCTGAGCCTGGGCAGCTACGAGGAGGAGCACTTCGTCGCCAGCATGCTCAATAAGATCTTTGGGTGCGGAGCGGGCCAGAGGGCGTCCACACGTGCTGCCCCCGTTTCCCTGGCGAAGGGGCAGGTGGAGGGGAGGCGGCCCCGGGAGGCCCGTCGGAGGGGGTGCAGAGACCCGTGTGCCTGCCCCTGGTGCCAGGACCGTCCTGCCCTGGCAGCCACGGTCCATGGGGTCTGGAGAGCGCACGGGCCACCCTTCGCTGGTAGGAGACCAAGGCGCCCGCCCGCGCCCCTCTCAGGCCCGCATTCCACAGGCAGCCCCGCCTTTCCGTGGCAAAGTTGGCTCCTGCTGACCTCAGCTCACGTCTCCACCTTCCGCTGCCCATGAGAGCCCACAGCCCTCGATAAGCCGTGGGTCCGAGGGGTGGGAGGGGCGAGGCCCACGCGGCACCCGCCAGCACCCGCCTCTGTCCTGGGCCCCAGTGTCCAGCCACACAGCCACTGCAGTCCCTAGCACTGGGAACGTCCAGGCAGGCTGGGTTCCCGAGAGCTCAGGTCCAGGGTTATCTCCTAGTAAACATCCAGATTTATTATTTGGAGGTTGGGCATGGCGGCTCACACCTGTAATCTGGAAACTTTGGGAGGCTGAGGCAAGAGGATCGCTTGAGGCCAGGCGCTCAAGACCAGCTGGGGCAACATAGGCCCGGGGTCTACGAAAAGCTTAGAAAATCCTCCGGGCGTGGTGGCATGTGCCTGTAGTCCCAGCTACTCAGGAGGCTGAGGCAGGAGGTTCACCTGAGCCCAGGAGCTGGAGGCTGTGGTGAGCTGTGATCCTGCCACTGCACCCCAGCCTGGGCAGCAGAGCCACACCCTGTCTCAGACAAACATCCAAACTGACATTATCTGACTAGTAATTGCACTCGTTTATGGTCATTACTTCTCACCGTGTACCAGGAACGGGCCAGACACACAGCGCTCCCGGCAGCCCTGGGTTATGTTACCGTCGGCCCTGAGGGTTGACCGAGAGGCTGGGCGTTTGCTGGGCCATGGGTGGCCCAGACCTTAGTCCAGGTCCATCCAGCGCCAGGCCTCGGGTCTCGCTGCTCTTCCGCCCGCCAGCTTTCTAGACGCTCTGAGGCCAGAGCCTGCAGAGCTCTGCTGGCAGGGCGCCCCGCCCGCAGGGGCCCAGTGAAGGGAGCCGGCCACCAGTGAGGGACACGTAGTCCAGCTCTCCCGCGCCCAGGGCGTGTGGCAGGTCCGTGGGAAACCCGGGGGGAGAGGCCCCGGGCCCGGGACGGCCCCGGGCACGCTGCACGCGGGCCTGGCCCTGCCCGCTCACGGGT